TGACTTTCTGAGGCTTTTTAGAAAAGGGAAATAACCAGATGGCTAGACCTGCCGTTTATCAATCTATGTGCATGGGGACGGGAGCTAAAGGAGACAACAGATCCGTGGAATTTTGGAAACACGATTACTCACCCACTAATTGATGTGTCCTGGAATCCAATGGAATCAAATTAGTAATTCTTCCTTTTGGGAACGAGCTACGAGAGCCTGGAAAAAAGGGTCCTCTTTCTCCCTATAACCAGTCATTTGCTAATTTCTATGCTGTAAATATTTCCACCATGGCAGATTTTAATAAACCAATGACTGGTGAAATTCCTAATTATTTAACGACAGGCTCTCAGGAGCTGGTCCGAGCCCACCACAGCACACCGCCGCGGAGTTTCCATTACGCCAATAACAAATCAAGGCCCAAACACATCCATTCATTTGCCATAAAGCTACATAATTAATTGCTCACCCTAGATTTGAACTTAGAACTTCTACAAAAAAGCCATCAAATGCTTCCATTTGTAGTCACCATCCTTTCTAAATCTCATAATTTTATGAACTCCCATACATATGAAGTTAAATCTGTTCTCCTCCTGTTAATCTGCCTATGTCAATTTAATAACCAGGCCAGCCACAGGACCTAGAAGGGAAGAGGGGAGACGTTTTCCTCCCCCCACCCCCTTAGTTACGCTCCGGCACAAGTGTGTCACCAGCTCAAATAAAGCCAGTCAAAGGGAATCCTGGGACGTGGCTAGAATTGTTGGGAGATGACACTGGCCGAGTCCCAGGGCTGGCGTGACAAACAGAGGCCGCTGGCTGCGGCGTGTCCTCTCCAGTAAACAAATCGACAGGCAGGCTACGTGGGGCTGGATCGCTTAGAGCGACTAACAGTTCTCCCGCTGTGGAAAGCTAGAGTCCCGACCACCATTGAAGGGTCTTTTTATCCGCCTCCCTGCCCTCCGTCAGTTCACAAATCCGGGCTTCCTTAAATGACACAATGACAGGGCCCCACTGTGGAAGAGCCCTGCTCTGATGTCACCTCTGCCCCTAAGCCTCTGTCCCAGCCGTTCCCCCAAGGAGCCGCTGCCATTTGCCCGAGTTGACACCAAACCCCGGGCACTCGGGCTACCACCAGCCTTTGTCAGCCTGCGTGGTGGTGTGTGGAGACCTGGTCATAAAAGGAGTTTTAAGCCGGTGTTGCGCCTTGGCAATCCCCATGGAAATGGGGCCCTTTCCTAGGGTATTTTAACATCCTGAGCTGGACACTTTGGCCTCAGCAAGTAGCATAATGCCCTTTGGTTCCCTCTGGCCACATCTCACGCGATCCTGTTGGCTAATTTCATGACTTCCCCTACCCAACATTGCTTTCACTAGGTTTGCTGGCTCTTTGTCTCTTCTAACGAGAATACAAGTGGCTTGAAAGCTGCAACCATGCCTACCTTATACACTGTCACCTTCCCAGAGTCTGAATAGTATCGATTATAAACAGACCCTCAAATGTTTATAGGGTAAATTGCATCAGTCGGAGGTCATCCCTGGAAGAATCAGAGATTAGGCCACAGAGAATTTAAGCTGCTGCATGTCCTGATTCCTACCACCTCTCCACCAGCTCTCCCGCCTGAGAGTTGCAAAATGGGCCTTGCAGAATAACTGCATCTGTCAGACTTAATCAGTGAGTCTAATTGCAGAGGCTTTCCCAGCTAAGTCTTGCCACTGGACTAAACAAACCCAGCTCCTGGCTCTCTGGAATGAGCTACGGATCTGGCGAATGAACCTTTCTCCCTTTCAATTAGCAGAGAATACCAGAAGCAATTTGGTTTCAACTGACTGTGTGAATATACCTTCAGAGAAGGTGCCTCACTAGTTCTCATGGTTCAGACAGAGCGTGAAAGCCCAGAGCCAGGAGTAGCCAAGTTCAGATCCCAGCTCTGCCACTTACCACCTGGGTGGCTGTTTCCTCACCTGTAAAACAGAGGTAAAAGTACCTATCTCAAAGCATTATGAACTAAATGAGTTAATACTGCACAGTGTTTAGAAGAGGGTCTTGTACACACAGTAAGTGCTATGGAAATGCTGGCTGTAACTATTACATGTTGCCTTTGCAACTCCAGGACATAATTAGGTCAGCAGGGGTTTGATTAACTCACCACTCCTCCAGACATCACGCTGGAGTGGTTCACTGTGGGTGATCCCCTGCTTGTCTGACCTGCGAAGCAGGGTGTCGCTAGCATCCACCTCTCCATTCATTCCTAGAGCCAGAATGATGTAAACCCTGTAGATTACAAGGGCCTCTCCTCCAGCCTCTGTCTCCTCTGGCCCTGGGGGCCCTGGGAGCTTCTGACTCCACCAGCCTCTCCCAGCCTGAGTCCAGACTTGCAAGCCCTTCTACTAGTGGAAGAGACCAGGCATGGAGGATAAAAGAAAAGGACACGTTAGGAGTCGGGAATGAGCTGCGATCATCGGACTAGTGGCCACGCGCCAGGTGCAGGGCCAGGGCCAGGGCCAGGGCCAGGCAGAGCAGCTGGGCTCCCAGAGGAGGTGTGGACGGCCCCTTCTGCCTCACCGAGCTGGTCCAATCACTGCTTGTATCGGGATCAGCGGCTTTCAACCTTCCTCAAGCGCCAATTTATAAATTTCCAGGGGCATCTTTGTGACTGGAAAAAAGCACCCGAGTATCTTTGCCACGCTTCCCTGCATGCATCGCTTGACCGGATGCCGCAGCCTCGCTCAGATGCACAGCCAAGGATAGAGCCAGGCCCCAATCCTGGCAGAAATCTGACTCAGTCCTTCCCCATGAGCAACCTTAGGGAAGCCTCAGGAGCCAAGGGGCCGCAGACAACCTTGTTAAAGGCCTGAGATGGCAGATACATCCACCAGGGCCTATGTGTAATTATGCTCAGGTTCGGAGCCTAGAGCAAATGCTCCAAACCACGGTACCTTACGAAGAACACTGCTGACGTTTGGGACCCACTTAGGATATCCAAGGGCACTCGAGAGGTTGTGGCCTTATAGAGGAGAAGCCTGGGGGTACACGTCTGAGTCACTACCCAACCTCTTAGAAGACAAAGAAAGCAAGGCTGAGCCTTGGCCACATAGCTCAGTTGGGTGGCGCATCATCCCACTGTGCCAAGGTTGCAGGTTCGATCCCTGGTCAGGACACATACAATAATCAACCAATGAATGCATAAGGAAGTGGAACAACAAATTGATGTTTCCATCTTTCTCTCTCATAATCCATAAATAATTTGTTAAAAAAAAGTGAGGTTGAGTTTAGAAAGAGCATAGAAGCTGAAAATGACACATGAGTGTCATCTGAGGAGAAAGAACCAGAGAGGAGAACCTGGGCTCATTTAGAAATGCAAACACTAGTCCACCAGCATACACATGCCCTCTGGGCGAGTCAGGCAGCTGGGTCCTCCTGCTTTCTCCTTCTGTTATCCCAGCCCTTTCAGTCTTAGAATTCTTGGTCAAAAGTAAGCAGTCTTTCTCAGTGGGGAAAAACGGACCTCATTCTTTCTTTCTTTTTTTTTTTTTTATCCTCACCCAAGGACATTTTTCATTGCTTTTTTGAGAGGAAGGGAGAGTTGGGGGGAGGAAGGATGGAGAGAGAGAGAGAGAGAGAAAGAGAGAAACATTGATGTAAAAGAGAAACATCGATCGGTTGTCTTCTCATACATGCCCCAACCAGGGATCGAACCTGCAACCTGAGCATGTGCTCTGACAGAGAATCGAACCTATGACCTTTTGGTCTACAGGAAAATCTCCCACCAGCTGAGCCACACCAGCCAGGGCCTCACTTTTTCCACCTGAGGGGAAAAAAAGTAGCAGAGACATACCAATGAGTCACACAGTATGTATAAGGAAAAACTGAATTTGGGGAGTTGGTTGTCTTGAACGAATGGTTCCCATCAGAAAGGAAGTATTTCTAGAAAGTAGACTTAAGTGCAGATTCACCAATAACCTCAACCATCAGGCCGCAGGCCTGGGGTCAGGCCCTGCAGCTCCCCAGCACGGAGTGACAGACACGTGTTAGCCCGGCTCCCAAAGGGCGCGCAGGGCTCCGGGAAACAGGACCGGCAGGCGCAGCGTCTCCTGCCACGCACGGACAAGAGGCCTCTGGAGCAAGAGACGAGGAGCTTTCCGCTGCTTATAAAGCAAGCCGTTTTCATTAAAAGCTTTTTAAAATTTCAGCAACAACTCAAGTAAGTAATGACTGTCTGATACCAAGAGCAGTGAGCCAACTTGACGCAGGCGCAAAACCTCACCCTTCATAAAACTTGAACAATCCAGACAGCCACCTCCATGTTTCATTGATGGGCTTTTATTAAAATTGCACATAGGTTTCATACTGACACTTAAAAAAAAATTCCCTTTGTCCTAGTATCAAAATAGTTACCATTTTTAAATACCTCGAAAACCTTTAATACAGTATTTTGTTGTATATTAAATAGTCTCCTAAAATCTCAATCATCTTGCTCTCCTAGAATTTTGCCTTCCGGCCACTACCTTTTTTTTTTTTTTGGCATCTTTAGTGCTTTATATCAGAGAAGCATTAAAAGGGAATGGTTTTCCTGTTGTCAACTATTTAAATTACAACAAATATTTTAAATAGGAGAAGCCAGTGTCAATATTTGATTTGATACTGAAGTTTCACATCAACAAGGCTTCCCTACAGAGCCACGCTGTACGGTTCGCCCATATCCAATGACTCTTGAACGCAGGTACTCAGGCTCTGGAATTATTTAAACAAAACCGCAGTTCTTGCCCTGACATGGCAATGATGGCCCAACAGCGCTCTCTAGTGTCCTGTAAGGATAAAAGCAGCCAGCAACACAGGAAGGTAATTGGATATGAGGTGTTGGAAATCTAGATGTGAAAACCAAAAAACTTTTATTTTTCAGGGGTCCCAAGACAAGTGGTTTCCCAATGTCCCACTCTCAGCATCGGCGGCCTCCAGCTGCCCAGTGCAGGGTTGCGAGAATGCCAGCATCACACAAAACCGGAGTACCCCATCAAAAGCTGGACTCCGGTAATGTTTTCTTTCGGTCTAGGGAAAGAGTGTGGTATTTCACCCTTTTCAAGGTGCCCAAGGAAGTCTGCTCCCCAGGAGCACTCCTCTGAGATGTGCTTAGGACGCTGGACCTCGGGGGCAGGTTGGTCTTGCGCGGGAGGTGGAGCGAGCTGGGCGCAGACCGGACAGCGCCCTCCGGGTGGCCGGCCAGGCCCTTGGCCAGGTTCTCTGATGTCCTCGGGCAAGAGGACCAGCCTGGAGGCTGCTCATTGACAGCCGGGCTCAGCCTGCCACTCCCCAGGGAGGCTGGGGCCACCTGGGGGGCCACCTCAGCCCTGCCATTCTTCTTGTTCTTCTTCCAAAACACCGACCTCAGGAAGGTGAGGGTCCTCTGTGAGAATCTGTGTGTCTCCGAGTCCCTTACCTCCACCTCAGCCCTGACCTTGGCTGACGAATTTTGGTGAGTGTCCGTGCTCATCACAGTGCTCGAAGCTTCCCTGGGGGAAGGTGCTCTGCCGCTGGTCCCCGGCTGGCCGCTTCCCTTTGAGTTCACGGTCCTCTGGTCCTTTGGCTGGGCCCCTCTCTCATTCTCCACCAAGGACCCGTCTGTGAGAGGTAGGTCGAACTGCCTGGGAAGGCTAGTGTCCTGTCCTGCATGTTCCTTGAGCTTCCTTGCTGTGTTTGGACCATCCGAGGTTCCAGGGACTACACAGCGGCTGAGGTGACCCGAGGGGCAGGGCGCTCCGGCCAGCACTCTCTCGCTGGCTCGCTCACTGTCCTTACCCTCAGCAGAGACAGTGGCACTCGACCTCGGCACCACTGACTTCTCGTCCCCGCCAGCAGCGCCCGTCAACAGCGGCACAATGGACTGGCTCGTGGATCGGGGTCTCCGTCGGGACTCCAAGTACTCCACCAACTCGACAGAGGCCACAAGTGGTTTCTCTCTGCGTCCAAAAGACCACCGAAGGGGCATGGTCGTGAAGGTCCCCTGCTTGTCCCAGGCAGGAGCTGGCACCTTCATGCTGATGCTTCGGCCTTTTACGCCTCGTACCAAAGGCCTGGACGCCGAGCCTCCTGAAAGAGACACCAGTAGCATCAGTGCCCAAATGCCCCTCTAGCGGCAACGAGAGTAAGGGCAGTGCCAGCCCCCTGGCAGGCACTGGCTGAGCACCTCTGAGGTGTCAGGCCCTGTGCTGGGCACTGGGGACAGTGCGGTTCCCGCCCTGGGGGGCATTGTGTACGCACCCACTATTCTACTGAGTCCTTTTACACATCTGAAGCCAGAGGGCAAAGCGGTGCCAAAGAAAGCAGCCAGCTACATGCCCAGGCTGTGCAGATTCCTGCTCAGCCCAGTCCCCAAGGCAGCCAGCCCGAAGATCTAACATCATTTTCATTCATCTTTAAATATTTCCATGAAACAGAATGCTCAGCAAAACTTTATTTCTTGGACCTGCTTTTCCAGGTCAAATTAGGTGCTTGTGCCTCTCAAATGCAAGAATCTCAGATATCCTACCCTGGGCTAAAAAGAACAAAAAGGAATTGTGTACTGCCACATATGCCTCCTTTGGGTGGTTTCAACTTCTGTATAGAGTTGGAAAGATGCTTTTACTATTCAGCGGTACCTCGGTACTCATGGTTCGTTCTGGAAATCATGATGGGTACTGAAACTGATGACTACCAAGCAATAAAGTATTTTCTCTTGAGCAGCGGCATCAGACTCATATAAGTTCCAGCACATGGGACCAATTCCGAGCAAGGGCCAGAGTCCTGAAACACTTTTTTCTTGTCAAAATGCGAGGAGTAACACGTTTAGCGAGGTCTGAAGCTGACAAGTACCGAGGTATGACTGTGTACTGTTAAGCGAGAAAGAGTCCAAGAAACATAGTGTAACCCAACTTGCAGAAATATGTATTCATATATGTGTGCAAGTGTGTATGTACACAGATGATACATGCATGTGAAAACATACAAACGAGTATGGGGAAATAAATAGAAAATGACAGGATGTGGGGAGGGTGATCGGGGCACTGTCTACGACTGGTTTTCCTCTTAATTCTTTTCTGTATCTCAACGCTTCTGAAGGAAACATACCTACGACCAAGGCTGAGCATTTTTTCCTAAGAAACATGTGTTCAGTTACAAAAACAATTCCATTTACAAAAGCATCACAAAGAATAAAATATTTAGGAATTAATTTAGCCAAGGGGGTGAAAGGCTTGTACAATAAAAACTATAAAACATTGCCAAAAAAAAGTTAAAGACGACGCAAATAAATGGAAACACATCCCATGTTCATGGAAGACTTAATATTGTGAAAATGTCACCATTACCCAAAGCAATCTACAGAATCAAGGCAATCCCTATCAAAATCCCAATGAGGTTTTTTGCAGAACTAGAAAGACGCCCCCTAAAACTCATACTGCATCTCAAGGGGTCCTGAACAGTCAGTCACAAAAGGATGAGTACTGTATGACTCCACGTGATGAATTACTTAGAGTGGTCACAGTCAGAGAGACAGAGTGAAAGGCGACTGCCAGAGGCTGGGGGGAGGGGACAATAGGGAGTCGATGTTGAGCAGATACAGAGTTTCGGATGCAAAGAGTTACAGGGACAGAGAGTAGTGACAGATGCACAGCAGGTAAATGTATTTAATACCACTGAACTGTCTACTTAAAAATGGCGAAGATGGTAAACTTTGCTTATTTTATGTGTATTTTAACCCAATAAAAAAGGTAAAAAAAAAAAAAAGCCATCAGTTATCATACCATTAAGACACCTTGGTTTACAAAGTCTGGACTCAGAGGAAGAAACCTTCCACTGAGCCACCCAGCCCACGTGGAACAGGACAGGACAGCGTTCAGAGAAAGACCCTAGGCAACCAGGCGAGCCTGACCCCGACATCTGTCCTCTCATCACGGGAACAGCTCCAACAGCTCCAACAATGAGCAAGAACCACTGTCCCCAGAAGGCCCGGAAGCAGTGGCGTGCTGACTGGGGCGTGCCGCAGGAGACCGTGCACACCACACCCGGGAGCAGAGGAGGGAGAGCGCGAGGAGCCCGGAGGACCGCGGTACGAGGGTCACATGCTGTCTGCACGGGAAGGGAAGGGCCGCACACTGCGCCAGGCTTCCCAGGAAGAAATCGCTGAGAGGCAAAGGTGGTGGGACCCCCCGGAATGACAGGGCGCCTTCCACAGCATCCCAGAGGTTCCCCAAGAACTTTACCCTTCAGAGTTTTCACAAATCACATTTGGTATTGTTTTGCCTTTAGAGCACTACTTTAGGTTAGCCAGCAATAGACACCGCTGCACCCAAAATACTTCGTAATTTCAGTTTGGATTGACACCATGGCTGCACCATTAACTTCGCTAACACAGAGAAAAAAAGAAATGTTCTGAGGTCGGAGATGTGTAAAGTTTTTTCCCTCTTCCACGGCCCTGACAAGGACAGAAAGAGAAGCTTTGTGTTAAGAGGACAAAGCTGTGGCTTTGAGCCTTTCAAAACAGGAAAACGCGGCGCAGCCCTGGCAGGTAGAGAGGTGGCTTGGCACGGGCCCTGCGGGCTGACCCCCCCATTCCTCCTGGTGCGAAAGGCCCGGCACTGGGCACGTCGCCGCCGCAGCTCTGCTTCTCGGGAACCACGGGCGCCCAGACAGGCCCTTTCTCAAGCCGGCAGTGGCAAAGCACCTTTGCTACCTTTGTTTCATTTCATTCTATTTACTGGGCTATAACTGGAGCGGAGAGAGAGCCATAGCTTTAGATAAATGGAGAAATACATGGCAGAAGTACAGACAGAATAGGAAATGCAGTGCTTACTGTTTGCCAAACATCTTGTTTCTGGGGGAGCGAGAGGGGGGCCCACCGCTCCTCCCCAGAGATGCTGGGAGCCAGAGATGGAGGTGGTGTTCACAGACCTCAGAGTGTTGGTCTGTGAACCCCCCAAACTTCCCCGCCAACCATGGAATTTGAAGCCTTGCTCATGCTCAGTCTGGCTTGAGAACAAGAAAGGGTCTGGGATCTTAAGCTACATTGATGATGCGGACAGTTGAGTTCTTCCTGCAGGTCATATAAACCCCAGAACATATATGACGAGCCTCCCAGGCCCACAAAAGACCTCCTCACACAGACAGCGCGCACGCAGCTGGTGGGCACAGCCATACCCATGCAGTGGCTCAGGGGCCAGCAGAAGCCGCCCTGGGAAATGCCACATCTGTTCCTGTGTGACTTTTTATCCTCGGCCAAGGAAGTCAGGTGTTGATCCGGCCCCATGGTGTGTGCTGTGAGCAGGGCGTGGGCTGGGGCCTCTCCTCGCCATCCGGAGCTCCCCGCACCCCGAAAAGGACGCGGCTTTCCCTAGCCCAGCGCCTTCTCCCTCCCCATGGGTTTGGACTCACTTACGCCTCTGACAACTATTAAATGAGAGCCATCTGGGCACGAAGGACAGTTTTCAGCCCTGGGAATATAGGTGCTGTAGGCATACGAACTGCTTGTCCCTTACAGGGTTTGACAAAAAACAAAAACCTACGATCTCATGGGATGTAACGACAAGAGCTATGAGGAAGCGTGAGGAGGGTAAAACGGTGGTCAGTGAGTGATGAGACCTGAGTGAAGGGAGGGAAGAAGCCACGCGGAGATCTGGGGAAAGCGGGCCCCAGGCAGAGGGAGCAGCACGTGCAAAGGCCCTGAGGCACAGGTAAGCTGGGGCCAGGGAAGCTGGAAAGAGACCCCCATGGCTGGAATCAAGGGTGGGAAGGGTCCTCACTAGGGGTCTTCATCTTCTGAGCCCCAACCTCGTTGGCAGACATTTCTGTCTCGAGTTGCACAGAGCAACCTGGCGCAAGACTGACCCTCAAACATTTAGAAGACAAGAAGAAGCTACAGAGATGAGCTGAGCCCCCTGCCCCTCTGAGACTCAGCCCCCAGGACGGGCTGGAGAGGAGAAAGGCCAGCCCCGGAGCTGCGGCCACCACCCCTTCCGCCACGCCAACGATCTCTGCTCCAGGGAGCGGGGGGGAGCCCCACGGGGAGAAGCAGGAACACAACAACTCACACGGGGGGTCCAGAGGTCAGAAGGTAAGGAGAGGCAACCATTGGAACAGCCCCTTAATGAAATGGAGCCACCGGAGGAAACAGACAACTTAAAATTAAAGCTCTCAAAGAGATTCAAGTGTCAAATAACAGGAGACTGAAAATACAACCCTCAGGTTTTTAAATTCAGGAAATGAAGACATCCACGGTCACTGCTGGAACTCAAATTGGTGGCCTGAAATGATCTTGAAATTTATGAAATATGTGAAATTCCATAATGGTGAAAGCGATGTCTCATATCACAGCAAAATGACAGATAGAAATAATAGTGAAAAAGTAGGGGAATTATAGGACAAATCTAGAAGAGCCAATGGGCAAATAATAGGAATTTGGTAAGTAGGTGAGAAAATAATTTAACAAACAATAGAAAAGAACATTTTTCTAATGAAAAACCTGTATCTCCAGAAGGAGAAGCCGCCCCGGATTCTAAGTAGGGTTGGTGAACAAAACACACACACCTAGGCATGTTCTGGTAGAATTTCTAAACTCCAAGGTCAAAGACAGAATCTTAAAGGCTTCCAGCCAGAAAGAGCAAGTGACTCTCCTGTAGAAAAGAACAGGCTTCTCACCTGCACCCCCGAGGACCGTGGGAAAACATCTGCAGACACCTGAGAGGAAAGGATTGCAACCCAAGAGTTCTCCACCCAGCCAAGCTGCCGTTCACCCGCAAATGAAAGAAATGATCTGTGGCTCCGCAAAGAGTTGGAGAACTCATCACGCATGCCCAGAAGTACTCCGACCAAACACTAACGAGTCAGAACGGAGACCGAGACCGACCTCAGAGACACGGACAGCAGTGTGGGGCCTGACTGTGGGCACGGGGGGTGGGCTGGGTGGAGGAGGGCGAAGGGGGACCACTGGGAAACTGTAACAGAATAACAATAACAACATTTAAAAAAAGATAGAGGGTTCAGGCAGTGTTACTCCGTGGACCCTGCAAGCCATGTACCTTCCCCACCCCCGTGCAGGTCGGACGGGCTTAGGACGTGTGTGTGACGCAGTGTTAAATGAGTGTGTTTGGGAGGAGAAAGGTACGGCAAAAGGGATTCTAATTACAGTCTGGAAGAGTATTAAACCATCCCAACAAAATCTGAGAGTCGGGGACCGAGGCGGGGAGTCCCTCAGACAGACTGGAGGGAGCACGGGAAAGCACTCCAGGGCTCCCGTGCGGGGGGCTGGCGGGGCCGGTCCTGCAGGTCTCCCATCGCGGGGGCGCGAGGGAAAGCAGTGAGGGCGCAGGGGACCTCGCAGGCGGCTGGTGGCCTCTCATATCCACATTGGGTTATAAATTTTGGGAAACACAAAGCAACAGGAAACAAGGTGGAAAAGAACAGAACTTCCGGAGGAACAAGGGAACAGATAGAAACATCATCAAATCAGTAAAAAATAAAGGAAAAAGGAACAAGTAATAGAAAATGTTTTAAGTGAGATGAAATCAAGTCTTGTAGTTGTTATATTAAATATATATAGGCTGAATTTTTCCCATTATAAGATAGACTCTGAATTTTTGATATTAAAAAAAGCAACATATTGTTTATCAAACTACTTAAAACTAACTATAAAATAAATATTCATAAAGCAAAAGAGAAAGATAAAATGATACCAGGAAAATGCAAACAAAAAGAAAGGGAAGGGAGTGTAATTATTAATCTTGAACAAGGCAGAATTTAAGATTAAAAGCATTAGGCAGGATAAAGAGCAACACTGTAATGAAAAAAGACACAATTTATAAAGAAGATCTAACAGCCATCAGCTTAGAGACTCCCATTAGCAAAGCAGCTAAACATAAGTTTATATTTAAAGCAAAAAGCATTAAAGTTCTTAGAATACGTGATTAAAAATGCAGCTATTCAGGAAGGTGTCAAGGCCCCTCCTTCCTAGCCAGGGTCCCGTGTAAGGTCAATACAAAGACACGGGTGAATTAAATGCAACCATCAACTCACCTGATTTAACAGCGATGGCATAAAGCTCATATCCCTCAAACAGACGATATGCGTTATTTTATATGTACACAGAAAATTTACAAAATAATACTCATGCCCTTACCTGATCACAAAAAGGGAATGTTTGAGAGCCACATTTTTGGATCACAATCCACAAAATTAGAAATAAAGGCTAAAAAGATGACAAAAAAATCTTAAATACTTGAAACTTCCAGATAACCTTTAGATCAAAGAGGAAATCAGAACTGAAATAACATACTATCTGGAAATCACTGAAAGTGAGAAAAGCAGAACTTGTGAGGCCCAATTAACGCCAGAATAGAAATTCACCATCGGAGCAGCGGTACCACCAAAAGCCCAAGGAACCTAAGCCCCGGGACCCTTAACTGCCAGGGACCCCAGCAGTTTCTTCAAATGGTCGGCTAATAAGAGCTGCAAACGCAGGCTGTTTCTATACCCCTTCCTTGTGTAGCTTCCCTGACACCTGTTCCCAGTTACATGCAGGGCAGCACCTCAAAACTGGAGTCCATTCATTCTAGTTTAAAATGGGAGAACATATTCGCCAACACATCTGATAAGGGGTTACTATCCAAAATTTATAAAGAACTTACAAGACTCAACACCAAAAAAACAGACAACCCAATTAAAAAATGGGCAAAGGACCTGAAGAGACACTTCAAAGAGGACATACAGATGGCCGATAGACATATGAAAAGATGCTCGACATCACTAATCATCAGTGAGATGCAAATTAAAACCGCAGTGAGATACCGCCTCACACCTGTCAGAATGGCCGTCATCAATAAATCAACAAACAAGTGCTGGCGGGGATGTGGAGAAAGGGGAACCCTCGTGCACTGTTGGTGGGAATGCAGACTGGTGCAGCCACTGTGGAAAGCAGTATGGAGATACCTCAAAAAATTAATAATGGATCTGCCTTTTGACCCAGTGATCCCACTTCTGGGAATATATCTGAAGGAACCCAAAACACTAATTCTAAAGAACATAAGCACCCCTAGGTTCATTGCAGCGTTATTTACAATCGCTGAGATATGGAAGCAGCCAAAGTGTCCATCAATAGATACATGAGTAAAACAACTATGGGACATTTATACAACGGAATACTACTTGGCTGTAAAAAAGGAAATTTGACTCTTTGCAGCAGTACAGACGGACCTGGAGAACATTATGCTAAGTGAGATAAAATGCCTCCATTATTACAACGTCCCATGACCAGAGCTACTGAAGGATGGAGTTCCCGGGCTATCAGGGTTTCTCTGTTGAGGACAGTTCTGCACTGAGCACCACCAGCCCCGGGCATGGCAGGACATTCAGCAGCCCTGCCTTTGACAGCAAACTTCTCCCACACAGCCATGGGGGAGGGGCGGACCAACCCCGGCTGAGCACCTGAAGCCTAGATTTTGATCTTGCCCAGATGTGGTCCTAACAAGACTAAATAAGGCTTTATTTTCAACCACCTCAGAGCTTCTCAAACAGGTTTCAAAATCTATCGTTATTTCATTCTAACCCCAGGAGGGCGCACTCCCTCTGGAAGCAGCCTCTGAACGGAATAAACTCAAATCTAGGATTCATGTCTAAGCACACAGAGCTGGCCTCCAGCAGCCGGGCGGTGCAGCGACTGCTTGCCGCCCTGCGCCCTGCCTCCTCCAGGGGCGAGCTTGTGACCCGGCACTTCCAGGACTCAGCTTTCTCCTCTGTCAGAGGGTTGTTCATCTCGCCTCATCTGGAGAGTTTGACAGCTGGATGAGATCAGTGAAATGCCACCAAGGGTCTGGAGGACACTCGTCTTCAATATTACCTCTCCCACCCCAGCCCCCTCTCTCTGGGGAGTTTTCTGGAGCTGTGCCCCACCCCCCTCTGAGTGCCAGGCTGAAGAGTTGGGCCGCCTTTGAAGTGGCCTCCCTGTGGGGTGTCAGACACATTCTTCCTTGGAGAGCTGAGGAACGGCCGGAGGTTGTGTGCCTCGGACAGACCTGGGATGACTGACAAGCTGGGCAGAGGCTCACGCTGCTGGACAGAGAGGCTGGGGAAAGAAGGCGCTTTCCTGTTCTAGAGACACTGCCCTAAATGTGCAGCCAGGCAGACGTGAGGGGAGAGAAACGGCCGGCAGGGTGAGTCAGAGCACAACGTGTTAAATAGCGTGCCTACACAGAAACGTATTCCAAGGATGCCAGACAAGCGCGATATGCGTGCACGTAGAGGTGCTCCGATCAGCATCTGTCTGAGAGTGAAACGCTGGGAGCCCAAATGCCAGCCACTGAGGAATTAGTAACCAAATGTGATGCTTAAACTGTCCAAATCCAGAGGGTTGGAGTCAAGGAAAACCTAAAACTATGTACAGCTCTAAGACTCTATCATCCTATTTATTCACTCACAAATATGGAACAAGAGCCAAGTGCACGCCAGGACTGTGCTGGCTCCTTTGATAAAATGGTAACATCAAGTGTAAATAAGCAGCTGATGAAAAAATATATCCACTGTGCCCCAGCAATTCCACTCCCAGATATATACTCAACTGAAACACGGACACACGTACAAAAAAACCCAAGAACAAAAGCATTCACAGCAGCACTGCCGGTAATGGCGCAAGCTGGAAACAGCCCCAACGTCTAGCCACCATAAAATAGATAAACAAAATGTACTCTAGCCAGACAAGGTGGGAGGTTCTAATGAGGGGTGGCAGCCACCCAGGGAAGGACACCAGCAGACGTTTTGTCAGAGACAACCCACCATGTACGCTCCACAGCAAAACCTGCATGGATTTTGGGAAAATCCACAAATGACTCAAGAACCCATAAATCTACAATGAGTCAAAGTGCTGTTCCTGGCGATCAAGCTTCAGACCTTCTCCAGGAGAGAGCAGGCCGGTCGGCCCGTAAGTGAGGCCCCAGAACTCTCGTGGACGAGGGGCTTCTCCTCACTCTAAGCACCAGGCCTCTTCTCCAAATCCCTGCTTTTGCTTTTATTTTAAAATGGACAGTAGTCCGCAGCGGAGAACAATCTCCCTCTCTCTCATATACAGACTTCTGTGCAGGAAACTATGTGTCTGAGCTTTGGGCTTTTTTGTTTGTTTGTTTGTTTAGACAATGGAATAAAATGAAAGAAGCATTGCTACACACAACATATATAAATCTCATTAATATAATAGAGCAAAAGAAGCCAAATTAAAAAGAGTGCATACTGTGTGACTCCATGTAGAGAAAGCTCCAAAACAGGTGTTAGAATTGAAGATAAGACTTCCCTCTGGAAAGGAGGGAAATGGTAATGATTTCAAGGCATATAAGAGGGGTAGGGAGGGCCTGGAACTTTCTATTTCTTAATCTGGGTTATGGATACATGATCATTAATCAGATATATACTTGTGATTAGTACACTTTACTGTGTGTGAATATATATATGCACACACACTTCAGTTTAAATTTTTTACTTGAAAGCTAAATCAGGCACTAATGGGAAACATGGAAACTAAAAGTAACTACAATGTGCTGCCATTTTCTGATTGAAGGAGCGCAGGGGCTAAAGGCAGACAGACACACGCACGCACAGCGCTCCCCCTGCAGGACTTGGTTTCTGTAGGTGTCCCCTTGCTCTCCTCCGCCATCATCCCTTTCTCTCTCTAGACTGGATCATCTGGAGGCTACAATGATCTATTACATCCTATTTGGCAGAACAACAAGAACTGCCATAAGGCCACGTTCCTCTGAGCTACCGCCCCTTCGATCACGTCCTTGGCGGAGAGTGCACCCCCTGTCACTTCTGCAGCCCAGTGTCTCCTCCACCCATCACAGCTGCCCTGTGCTCTCCAACCCATGACTCTGGGCAAGTCACCGGTGCCCTTCCCGCCTGAGGATCACCTACCCGCCCTCGCTGGAGCCCCTCCGTACTATCTGACACGGCTGGCCACTTCCTCCTTGAAAGATTTTTCTTTTCTGCATCTGTGACTCATATTCACCCAGGTTTCTTCCTACCCCACCGGCTGTTCTTTCTACTTCTTGGCTGGCCTCCCTGCCTCTGCCCAGCCTCTGGACGGTGGAGAGCTCCAGGGCCTGTGCAAAGTCTCTACTCTTTCCTGCCCTGGCAGTTTCCCTGGGGGAGCTCGCCAGCCCCGGGCCTTGAGACCCTGCCCGTGCCGACGACGCGGGTGTTCCTCTCCAGTCCTCAGTAACCATCTGGATTCGGGTGTCTTACAGGAGCCTCACAGTTATCGTGCCACAGTTTTTTAAAAATGTTTGTGTTCATGGTTAGGGGTTACTTTTCTTAAAATCCTCACCCAAGGATATGCTTTCTTAAAATTGGTTTGGGAGAGAGAGAAATGGAAAGAGAGAGGGAGAGACAGAGACAGAAAGAGAGAAACATCAATGTGAGAGAAACATTGATTGGCCGCCTCCTGCACACGCCCTGACCGAGGATCGAACCTGCAACCTAAGCGTATCGAACGATGCTCTAACCAACTGAGCTACCCGGCTGGCACACACATTCTGGATTTCTCTCCAAAACTGACCATTTCCTACCCAGCTCTTTCCCATCTCATGAACTGCACCGCTAACCTAACCACCGAGTCATTTAGATGCTAACTAAGCAGAGCCCTCCTTGATAACCCACTTTCTCTCTCATCAGCAACTCCTGCCAGCTCCGTCTTCAAGCACGCCCAGCATCTCTCTCACCGGACAGGCTAGCCCGAGCCAGTACGCTCTCTCACCTGGGCAGTCACACAAGCCTCCCAACTGGCCTTCTGTCTCCCACTCTTGCGCCTCTGTGATGTATTCTCCACATGGCAGGCGGGACAGACTTCTTAAAAATATAAATCAGCCCTGACTAGTGTGGCTCTGGGTTGGGCATCATCGCACAAACCAAAAGCTCCCTGGTTCAATTCCCAGTCAAGGCACATGCCTGGGTTGCAGGCCTGGTCCCTGGTTGGGGGTGTACGAGAGGCAACCATTTGATGTTTCTCTCCTTCTCTTTCTCCCTCCCTTAAACTCTCTCTAAAAATAAGTAAATAAAATCTTTTAAAAATATATATAAATCAGGTGGATTAGTTCCTCGCTCAAAATTCCCCAAAAGCTACTCACTGTCCTTGGGATAAAATGCACACTTAGCTCAGGCCAGGGGCACGTCATGGCCCGGCCCCTGGTCACCTGTCACGCTCCTCACTCCCTCTGCCCCAGCCCCGGTGTCTTCCACCCCTCGCACACGCCCCACGCTCACTCCCAGCCTTCTCCGTGACTCGCTCTCTCTGCTGCAAGGTCACCTCCTTCCTGGGAGGGCTTTCCCCGCATGCCCTCTGCACGCTTCTCCCTTGCCCCAGTGTTTGCTTCTATGACCACGTACCGCCTCACCCTTGTCCCTGCCTTATTTCGAGCCATTGCACTCGTTTACTAGCTTCTGTGTTGTCCTCCCCGTTCGCCAGCCAGCTCCAGGGAGCAGAGGGCACGCGCCTGCCGCTGGAGCGGACAGGGGCGGAGCGGTAGGCACGGGCTGGGCCGTGGAAGACCCCGTCGGAGGGATGACTAAACCTCTCATAACGACGGACCCTGAATGCTCAAGGCCGTGAAATGCCAGCACTTTTATCAAGATGAGGAGTAATGGTTGTTCAAGAAAATGAAAATAAAATAAGCAAATTGAACCAACGTGATAAAACATACCCTTTTCCTGCCTGGAGGGGCTGTGTGTGATCCCAGGATGGTCGGGCACCGGGGACCGGGAGGGGACGGGGGCAGAGTTCCAGGACAGCGGGCTGCCCCTCACGCTGCCATTACAGCTCCCGAGCCGCATGAGCCAGTGATCAGATACGGAGGAGCTGGTGGAACCTGCGGAGGAAGCACAGAGAGCGAAGGCTGCACCCTCTCCACCCTTCTGGGGTCCCCAGAGGGGCTTCTCGAGGCCAGAGCCCCATCCCGAGCCCTGGAACCACAGGGACCCACGTACACGGAAGGCCAGGCCAGAGGAGAACCCTGCCACCAACGAACGGCATGACCACCCTGAAAATTCAGGGGCAGATGTTTGGGCGCGGAAGGGAACATTGATGAGCACTGAAATGCTTTTCATGAAATTATTTCCCACCAGCTCCAGTTTTCTAAATGTGGTATGTTTTTCATTCTTTCTACATCTATCTTCTGTAAAAGGAAGGCAGGCTTTGTGGTAGGGTTGATTTTTAGATCTTTTAGGGTGCATCTAAACTCTTTATTTGGCCATTTACCAGCCACTGTTGGAGAGAAAATCTGAGTAATTAAAAAATAATGCTCTTTCATCCCAAAGTTAAGGATGGCTAGTTTACAGAATGAAAAAAGTCGCATAAAAAGGTCAACTTTGATCCTTTTTTCCCTCCAGAGTTCCAAGAGAGTTTAAGGTTAGGGTTAGCTAATAAGTGTATGGCTGGGCAATAAACATAGTTAAGCAGCTACGTTCCCTATGAAGACCCTGCAGCCTTCATAACTGCCCCTCCCTTTCTAACAGGACTTACGCAGGTTGATACTGCACAAGCTTAATCACAATCTGGCTGGAGCCCTGGCTGGTGTGGCTCAGTGGATTGAGTGCCGGCCTGCAAACCGAAAGGTCACCGGTTCAATTCCCAGTCAGGGCACATACCTGGGTTGCAGGCCAGGTCCCCAGTTGTGGGCATGCAAGAGGCCAACAGATCAATGTTTCTCTCCCTCTCATTCTCCTCCCCTTCCCCTCTCTCTAAAAGTAAAAAATAAAATCAAAAAATAAAATAAAATATAATCTGGCTTGACGTGAGACTGGGAATAGGAAGTCCCACACTACCAAGAGTCACCTGCCACGCATACCAAACATTACTCCTTTCCCCTTCCTTAGGTTTCTGTATGACTCTTCCACATCCTCTCCAATGGGATTCTAGTCTGTATGTTCACATCTCTACAGCAGCAGCCATACCTGCCTCTTTCAGATCCTTGCCTACCTCTTCTGGTCCTTGGTGTTCAACTAAGCATCTTCCCAGTTCTTAAAGTGACTTCCCAGCTCTCCCTCGTCCTGTCGCAAGTGGCGGCACCTACCTCTCACGGAGCTGCTGGCCGACCAGGAAGGGATGCTGTTCCGTTTCTGGTAAAACAGGATGTAAGCCCCGCGGGTGATAACCTCATCTTCTAGAAGCGACTCCACAGTGCTGTCGTCGTAACTGTACCACTGGCCGTCCAGAGAGTTCCGGCAGTAGGCTGCAAGGTGCAAACCCGAGGTCCCATTACGGGAGCCCCCAAAAGCAGGAAGACATAACCCCCGCCCCCATCATAGCTCAGAAACGGACATGGCTGTAATAGAATAAGAAATATTGGTCCATTTTGGGCCACAAGTGAGTTTTGTGGCATCTAAATCAACCAGTTACGCCCATGTATTGACTATATTGACTCCCAGATCCCAGGTGCTTTACTGAAAAAGTGTGCTGCTACTTTAAACTGAATCCTTTTGTTGTGGCCCTTGCTCAGGCAAAATCTCCAATAAAAGAGAGCCCCAAATTACTTAGACAGACTGTGATGTCCACAGTCACCCTGTTTCTTCTGAAAAGCTTCCTAATGCACATCTCATTCTGTGTGCAATGAAAATATGCAGTGGAATTATGGTATAGTTCTTCCCTATCCAAGAATTGAAGTCACATTTTAAAAAATGCTCATAAATACGATTCTTACCACCTTCCAAACAATTAAAAACAAAATATTGTTCTCCTTCCCTCTACATGTCAATGAATGGTACCATGACCCACTAATCTGGAGTCAGCCAACTTTTTCCCTAATGGACCAGAGAGAAACTATTTTAGGCTTTGCAGTTCACATATAACACATACGGTCTCTGCCATATATTATTGTTCTTTTTTTTCCACCTCATGAGCCATACAAAGACAGGTGCCGGACTGAGTCTGGCCCACAGGCCGTAGTTTGCCACTCAGCACTCCCGCAAGCCAGGCGCCTAGGAGTTGACCGTGGCTCTCCCTTTCCCTTCTCCCCCGCACCCAGGCCCAAAGCCGGTTTTATGGATTCTACTTCCAAAATGTGTCTCGAGCACCCAGACTGCCAGTGCCCAAGCCCCACCTGAGCCCCCCAAACATCCTCCTAGCTGGAATTACAACTTCCACTCCGGCTCCCCCTACCCATTCTCCACAGATCAAAGCTACTACGTCAGTTTGTAATCAGAATCATACCTGCACTCCTCTGCCCACAACCTTTTAATGGCTTCCCATCACTTTTTAGAAAAAAAAAACACAAACTCTTGTCCGTGGCTGACAGTGCCTTCTGATCCAGGCCCGTCGGCTTTTATTTCCGCCCAATCACTGCGCATCAGCCACGGCAGGCTTTCGGCAGCCCTCAGACACACCAGAGCTCTGCCTCAGGGCCTTGGCATGAGCCAGGAGCTCTGCCCATAACACTCTTCCTCCCATTGCTCGCATAGCTAGCTCCTCCTCATCCTCCTGCTCCTGACCTAAAGGTGACATCCTCAGAGCGGCCTGTTCGCTATCACAGACACAGAAAATCAGTCCGTCACTTTTTCATAATTCCAGGCAGTGAAAGTGCTACAGTGGCAAGTCCCCTTTTATTGTCTGTGTCGGAAATCAGACTAAGTCCCAGGGAGTCAGGACGCATATCTGTCCTGTTCATCACTGAAGCTCCAGCACCGGGTCTGGCATAGAATGGGCACTTGATAAATATTTGTCCAAATGAGTGATGATCGTGGATTTCTATGCAGCCCAGTGCCTTCCATTAGTACACTACAACAGGGCGCTTCTTGAAAAACTAGTTTTTTTAAGCATTTTCTTTAATGAAATAACTTGTGTTAGTCTAGAACAGACACGGTATGTGAACAATTGAACAAGTCACCCAGTTCTTTGTTTCTGACCTTCCATTTGTCTACTTCTCCCAAGTTCCTCTGAAGGGTAGCGATGAACTGTACCCCACAGAAATAAAAAAAAATCTGACAAGAGTCTTTGTATTGACTCACAGATGAGCATAAATGTCACTCTCTCGGTTCCAACAATTCTCCTCCTATACTAGATAAGGCTGAAAATTCAGGCCATCGCTAAGTTTACATTCCAACCACCAACCTAACTCAACTCTACGGCTTGGCCAGGCCGCAGGCCCCGGGGCCGATGCCTGGTGTGCGGCGGGTGACAGTTCAGCTCACGTCAGGGCCCGAGGGAGCGGGGCATCCTGAGACCCAGGCCACAGCCACGACACATGGCCACGGCCGCCAGCAGCCCTGAGGCAAAGCTCACCTGTGTAATGCCCACCTTGCAGGCTGCCATGGTGGTTGCAGACGGCGTACAAGTCGTACAGGAAGTCCAGGGGGTAGCTGGCGGGCAGGCCGGCCGGCGGCTTCCAGGGGGGCCAGGGGCCGGGCGCGGGCTTGGCGCCAGCACTTCTCTGGGCCACGTGAGGTGCCATGTTGAGGCCGCAGAGGGGAAACTTCACCAGCGTGGAGAGCTTGTTTCTTCTCTCGCCTACCTGACAGAATCTTTTGAGGTGGATGATGAGGATGTCAGGCAGGGTCCACAGACTCAGCTTCACCATGCCCTGCTGCAGGGCTTTGCAGTGGGGGCACTTCCATGCATCGTCCTGGGCCAGCTGCAAAGGAAGCCACCGGGACTGTGAGGCCAACCCACCGAGAGGCACCAGCCCCCTCCGGACTGGGGAGTAGACCCCAGGGCAGGACCTGCTCCTCCTTGGTGTAGAACTGGAAGCATTCGTCCAAGGTACAGCTGTGCTGCTGGTGCGCCTGCTGCTCCCGCCGCACGCTGTCAGCTTCCTGGACCCGCTCCTCCTGGAGGCTCCCGAACAGGCTGCAGAGGGAACCCCAGTGGCACTTAGGCTTCTCACCGCCGGGGGGTGGGGGGGGGTCTCTCCTGAGTCTCGGCTCACAGCCAACAGGGTGGAAGGCAACCTCCAGGCGAGGCAAAGGTGCCCACTGGGACCTCACACGTACATGCTCTGACTCAGCACTCTCCTTCTGCAGAATTCCCTGTCTGCCCCACCAGCTCCAGGAGGGCCCGAGCCCTTGTCTTATTTGCCTATCTCCTCATCCTATCGCAGGGCCTATCACTTAGTAGGAGAGTAATACTTTTTGGGCCCTGGGCAGGTGGCTCAATCAGTTGGAGCGTCATTCCGTACACCCAAAGGTTGCAAGTTTGATTTCCAGTCTGAGTGTGTACGGAAGGCAAACCAATGTTTCTCTCTCACATTGATGGTTCTCTCTCTCTCTCTAAAATCAATAAAAACAATAACCTCAGGTGAGGATAAAAAACGTACTTGCTGAACTGAACAGTGCCCTTTTTCAAAGTAGGGCTGATGCACTTGGTGTTAGAGATGCAGCCGAGTTTAGCGATTAAGAGCGTGGCCTAGAGCACGACAACATGGGTTCAAATCCCGGCTGCCATGCAGGAGCTGGGTGACACTGAGCACCTGTTTAACCTCTCCGTGCCTCAGTTTCCACACTTGAAAGGGCAGATTATAGGAGTACCCACCTCACAGAATGTAACAAAGATGAAATAAATTGCAAACACGTAAAGTACTCAGTGCAACGACTCACACAGGGTGAGTAAGCATCACGTACCAATATACTTCAACTACTGTTACCACTATGAATACCAGCCACCCCTATCATTATTACTATTATAGGCACATCTTGTTTTATTGCGCTTCCCAGGTGTGTTCTTTTACAAATCGAAGGCAAGACCCTCCACCAGCAAAAAGAATACACTTCACTTTATTGCAATACTTGCTTCATTGTGGCTGCCTGGAACTGAACCCCCAATATCTTCGAGGTCTGCCTGTACTATCATTGTTGTTTACCTACAGGCAATTATTCGGGTTTCTCAGAGGCACGGGTCACGTGGCATCCAGGAGCTATGCGCACTGCCTGACAGTCACTGGGGGAAACTGGGCCCAGGAAGGCTTCCTCGCCTAGGCAGGCCCTGTCTCTCTGATGGAGCCAAACTCTGTAGAACTCACCGCTCTTTGACGCAGCTGTCCCACTCGACAGCCAGTTTGATGTGTGCGGGGCCTCCGGGCTTCCTGAGGTGCAAAGCCCTGAGGAGAGAACAAGGAGCCCATCAGAAAGCAGGGGGCCTCCCCCCGACATCTCGGCAGGGCCCAGAGGTCTGCCTCCGCCCCCAGGACTGATGATCCGAACAGAAATGCCCAACGCCGACTGCACACCGAGGTCGGGTATCTGCGGAGCTGTCTGCTGAAGGCTGAGTCCTCATCTGCCTTCGGCACGCTCTGCGCACTCCCTTGGGAGCTTGCGAGCTCTGAGGATCTGGGTAACTGTGAGGACACAGATCAACTCTCCTGCCGCACCCCAGAGCTTTCTCAGTGTCTAGAAGGCAGTTCCACTTGAATGTCCCGCACAAATCCCCGTTCTGACGATGCCTAACATGAGCTAACTTTCCTCCACCGCTGTGTGGAAGGAACACCCTCTAGTCTGCGTCCACACCCTAACCCTTTTCTTTCAGACCCTCGAATACCCAGAAACTCTCCGTGTGAACCAGCCTATAGCTCCAGCTACATGGGCTCAGCCCATTTCAGAAAAGGTTGTTCTTAACACAGAAGAGACAAGTCAAGAAGAGCGTGGAGGACATGAGGCTTGTCCCCAAATCCGTAAGACACATGTAAGTGCTGGGGGAGGCTGCACCTAAGGATGCTTAGGATGCATTGGAAGGAAAAAATGGGGATGTTGCATGAGTCCCTAATTGACACCAGGAGGATTCAAAACAGGGTTTTAAGCTCAAGGAAGATAGGAAAGCCCGTGGCTGAGCAGCGCCAGGTCTGGGGTGGGGCTGCGGCATGACTCTGGGGAACGAGAGCCAGAAGGGAGCAAGAACAAGGCGCATCTGGGGGAAGCCCTCCCAGCTTATCATTCCAGACGAACAATGACCACCCTGCCTCACATCTCCGTAGAATGAGGGGACTAAGCCGCAGGCATGGGATTGTCTCCCTCGTCATCCACCTCACTCCCCGCAAAGAGAAGCTGCCCCTTATCTGGTTGACGGGGTTTCAGGGAGGTGATCGGCTCACCCCTCCTGCTCGCTCCTCCCTACGGCCTACAGCCGCTGCTCTCTCATCCGTGCACCGAGCTCCTGGCGGCAGCTCCGTCCCTGCAGGTGGGGGGCTGGCAGATTGGGGCGCACATTCAAGTCAGAGGAGACACAGGCTGGGGCAGCCTGTCTGCCGCCCTAGATCTAAGCCTCTTTCTCTGCGACCCTCAGATTCTCCATTCCCACAAGTGGCGAACTCTGCCTTGCTGGGGGTGGAGGTGAGGGTGGGGGTTTCTGGGAAACCTAGTCAAAAGCTCACATTGGACGCATATCTAAGCCACACCCTTTCACCAGCAAAGGGTCCTCTAATAAACCTAATGTGTTGACCTCTTTCCGCCTCAATCCTCGGTCTCCTTTTCAACTAGAGTCTCAGCTTCAGGGTGGAAAAGGAGAATTGGCACCTACGGGCTTTAACTCTGTTATACAAAACCCCATAGGCCGCAAAAAGAGGAGAAGTGTGAGTGTAACCTGAAGTCTGCTCCTCGCCCAAACGGGATCGAGGGCATTATTCGACTCTGTGGCAGGATGCGATTCCAAGCAGCACACGGACATGGTCTCTACCCAGAAGGAGCTAAGAGTCTAGCAGGAGAGACATGCAAAACGATGGCTGTAATGCGCGGGGGGCGCTGAAGGGACCCCGAGGAGGGGCACCCAGGCTGCTGCGGAGCCCAGAGAAGACACCCTGCAGGAGGAGCAGGCGGTGTCCAGGTACGTGGTGAGTGGCGAGGGGAATGGCTCAAAGGGCTGTACGGGCAGAGGGCTGAGGGCGAGCCAAGGGTAGGGCATGCGCTGAAATGCACAGCAGAAGCCGGGGAGAAGGGCGGGCTGCACGCTGAGAGCGTAAGCCCAGACCTCAGAGGGAGGGAGGGTTTTGTATGCCGCCCTGTGGGCCACCAAAGGGTTTTAGGTATAGAAGCAGAAGGATGAAAGGGGAGGTATGTCAGAGCGGAGGTTCTGGAGCATCCGGCCAAGAGGTGATAAGGAGGACCTCAATTCAGGCAATGGTCATAAAGAGGAAGGAACAGATCTGAGGAGCCACCCGGATCTGGAACAGGAAGACTTGACGGTGCGTTAAGAGGTGAGAAGACAGCGAGAATGGGAGAAGGAATCAAGGGTGAGTTCCCGGTCCTGCTTGGGTCACTGAGTAGATAGATGATGGTCATCTTTAATCACAGAAGACAGAGAGAAAAGCCCTATCCAGGAAGAGTTCAGACTGGCAAACATTTAGGTTTCATGTCTATAAGACATTTAAGTGAGCCAGGTGGGTCTGTATCTCAGATAAAAATCTAGGCTGGAAGTAGAGAGCTGAGAGCCCTGGGCCCTAGGGTGGTAGGTAGAACCAAGGCCAGGTAACTCGGTGGGTGGCCTATGGAGGGAGCATGCAGGGGGTGGGGCGGCACTGAGGCCGACATTATTTGAGGACCCCAGGGAGGGAGAGAAACACGTCAAGGACACAAAGAAATTTCTAGGAGATAAATGAAACATGGTATATCCATACAATGAAACATTATCCAGCCTCATAAAGAAAGGAAATTCTGACACCTGCTGCAACGTGGATGAGCCTTGAAGACATTATACTACATGCAATAAGGCAACCACAAAAGGACAAATGCTGTGGTCCACTTATCTGGGGTACCTCGAGCCGTTGAACTCATAGAGGCAGAAAGAGCACTAGTTGCCAGGGGCTGAGGGAGAGGGGAATGGGGAGTTATTGATTAATGAAGGCAGAGTTTCAGTTTAGGAAGGTAAGAAAAGCTCTGAAGATGAACAGTGGTGATGTTCGCACAACAATGTGAGTGCACTTATGAACTCCATGGAACGGTCCTCCACGTAGAAGTGGTTAAGGTGGTCACTTATGTTTTTCTGTATTTTGCCACAGTTTTAAGAAAAGAAATTTCTAGGAGAACAAGGAGATGCTGAGGTAATGGAGGGAGAGTGAGGTGGGGGAGGGGTGGGTAGAGGTAGGGTCAGTCTGCGGTGGAGGTGGCGCTGATGGTGATGGTGACGGTGACCGGCCGGGTGGGAGGGAGGCGGGGGGACCAGAAGGGCTGGAGCCCCAGGGGCCGGCTCCCTTCCGTTTGGCCAAATTGCATGGCCAACTTGCGGTGCCGCTGAACTTGTCCCTAGCGCTTCCCGAACTACCTGCAGTGAGGGACCCTTTCCTTGGTTTGGTTCCAAACCAGTGCAGACTAATACATTTGTAAAATGTAACGGGGTGGGGGAGACACACAAAATACAAGTTCAACTTTTAAAAAAATTATTATATTCATCATATTTTAAATTGTTCTGTCATATTGCTTTGACGCTTTTAAATGCTTCCTCTCAGGTTCATAGAATCAGCTGGGAGTCTGTGGAACACACTCTGAGTTGCAGTCTTCTTCTTTAGGGCGGAGCACAGTGAGGGGGCCCTTCTCAGAGCCTCCGCCCCACCCCCAGCCCCGCTCCTCAGGTGAGACCCAAGCAGGCCCTGGCTGACATTTCTCCTGCCTCCCCAGCTCTGTGTAGCAGCTACCAGCCAAGGAGGGTGCAGGTGGGGTGGAGGGCACAGAACTTTCTGGCTCACCCTCATCCTCATTCCTGGTCCCTTTATAAAGGGACGGGCCCTTCCCTATTACAGTATGACACCAATTCAGATTCTGACACCAGTTCCAATGTTTTGTTTTTTTCCCACACCACCAAGCAATTACCTCAGTTCCGACCCTGTCTACCTGGAGAGAGCATCAGATCCCGCAGGTGAAGGGCTCAGCCCTGTAAGGCTCTCAGCCCCTCTCCCCCACCTCAGACACCAACAGCAAATCCAAGTTGTCACCTGTGCTTCTGACCAACCCAATAATAGATTGGTGAGCCCTCCTTGGGTTCAATTAATTTGCTCAGAGCAGCTTACAGAACCCAGAGAAACAGTTTACTAACGCGATTACCAGTTTATTATAACTCAGGAACAGACAGATGGAAGAGACGCAGAGGACAAGGCACGTGGGAAGGGGCAGGGAGCGCCCACATCCTCTGGCTCCCCTCCCCCACACCCCCGTGTGCTCGCCAGTCCAGAGCTCCCCCAATAATGTTCTCCAGGTGTTCATGGAGGCTCCATTACATAGTCATGATTAATTAAGTCATCAGCCACCGGGGACAGACTCAACCTCCAGCCCCTCTCCCCCTCTCCAAGGTCAGGGGGGTGGGATTGAAAGTCCCAAACCTCTAATCACAGGGTTGGTTCTCCTGGCAACCAGCCCCCACCCTTAGGTGCTTTCCTGTAGTAACCTCATTAACACAAACTTGGGTGTGGTTGAAAGGGGTTTATAATGCGTAATAACAAGACATCTTTTATGCTTCTATCACTTAGGAAATTCCAAGGGTTTCAGGAGCTCTGTGCCAGAACTGGGAACCCCAAATATAGATCTCTTATTATAAACCAAAATATCACGCCTACACCCTGGGTTCGGTCAGCTTTGGTAGACCACGCCAGGGAACAGGGCAGCCTCACTGAGAGCTTGGAGGGAGATGAGCAGGCTGCCTCTCGGGTGCCGGGCTGCTGCAGCCTGCCCGGCGGGGCCATCCCAGCAGGAGGCTGCGGTGCAGGCCCACAGAGAGTCAGGGAGTCAGAACCACGGGAGACATGGCCACGCTGGTTCAATCCTCAGCCACAGGCCACAACCTTCCACAGTTTGGGGCCAATTGTTCAGTGGTAAAATTCTCCCTTGCCCTGCAGGGGGATTCAGGTTGAATTCAGTAGCATGACTAATTGAATGAATTTGAGTTTTTCAGTCTGACCTGGGTTCAAACCCAGCTTCAGCCATTAACTCGTTATGCGAGTGGGAGCAAGTTAGCTGATCTCTGGGAACCCTAGTGTCTCATCTTTGAAGTGGCCATCCAAGTAGGTCACTAGACATAAGGGCTGCATGTAGAGAATGTGTATAAGGACCTAACCCGGTGGAAGACACTAGAGAGGTAAGTGACTGAGAGCAGCTGAGACGGTCATCAACTTTATTGATACCTAGCCTCAAAGGAGTCTAGTCAAATAGCTCACACTCATTCTCTTACCAAGTCTGGAACATCCCCTTACCTGTCAACTGCCCAGTGACAGAGGGGCCGGCTGTCCTGTGGGGACAAGTAGCTACAGGCCAGGGACGGCCCCACAACCCGAACGGAGAACAGCGGCCCTGGGTTCTGCCGAGACAAGCACAGAGAAGCGTGGGCCATTGTGCATGCTGATTTCAATGGACTCTTAAGTGCAGATAAGTTACTCAAAAAGTGTAATTCTTTTTCTTTTTAGTCTATTTTGAATATTCCCTTAACAATTAGCATTCAAAACCTAGAGATGGGCAGGCTTCGTCTGATTTTGAAGAACCATACTGTATCTATTAACATAGTGATCTAACACTGTTTAACACACAAATTTTCTGAAAGGATAAACATGCTGTTTTTAAATAACTCATGCTTAATTGGAACAGAAGCTGGCACAGTCTTTGGAAAAAACAAATCAGTTATGGGAATGAGTTATTAATAGGTAATTGAACTTACTTTAAGATAATTATCATCACCAAATTACCAAAATGAGCCAATAATCTAAAAGCAAATTAGTTTATGTTTTACATACCAAATGCTAAATAAACACTTCAAAATAAGCCATATAAAGAAATATGAACTATGGGTTTTTTAAATTTTTTTTACTCCTCACTCGAGGATATGCTTTTTTGGGTTTTTTTTAATTGATTTTAGAGACAGAGAAACATCGATGTAAGAAACATCAATCAGTTGCCTCCCATAAGCACCCTGAGTGGGGAGCAAACCCGCAACCTAGGTATGTGCCCTGATTTGGGATCAAATCCAAAACATTTTGGTGTACAGGACAAGGCTCCAACCAACTGAGCTACCTGGCCAGGGTATAAACCTCTTTTTTTTATAATTCATGCAAATTAAGGCCATCCAGCAAATTGGTCATTTTTGTAAGAGACACTTTCCTGTCCTCTATTCTTGCCTACAGCCTCCAACATATGTTCACTATTTTTAACATCTTCAGCTCAATGTTATGAATTCTGAATGTATTCTTTCCAAATTATTACCCCATTAAGCCAGTATTGACTAGATTGCTAAAAGCACTCTGAGTTAAATGCATTGCCTAGCCTGGGAACCTCACAATCATTTAGAATCAGCATTCCTGCAGAAAATCACATCCAATCACACATTCACCAGTGACCGTGGAAAAGCAGCTCCAGCTACGCTGGAGGCTACCTGTATTAGAATTTTGCTGGCACCTTGGATTGCCTGATTGGTTTCTAAACTCAAAATGACTGTAGGGGCGCAGAGGTGAAAGTACACGTGTGTCCAGCCACGGAACAAAGCTAGCTGAGTTCAACGCTCGCACGACAGTGATTTCACCCACTTTCAAGCATCAGGAGCACAGGCTTTGGGGGAAGGCTAAAGCTATTCCTAGATATTGTGACCTACTTAGAGGGAAGTTTGTGCTTCTAATTGGGGCACTGTGGCAGACCTGCTGGGCAGAACAGAGAGCAAAATCCCTTGGAGATCATGGTAGGTTCAAGTGCAGAGAAGGTCTTGAACAAAGGGATGCTTGGTGCAAATCCTAAATTCAATGTATGGTTTTCCCTGAGCACGAAGGAACTTGAATGATAAAGAATTACCACTGACATGAGTTTGGTGCATCCCCGAAATGAAAAGTTCTTCCTAAGAGAATAGTTGGGGGAAACAAAGTTTCAGTGCCACTGACCTATCCCTAAAAAAATGTCAACACCTGTGCCAGGCAGCCATTGGAAATGTTTCTGATACTACAGGCACCAAAGGAAATGGATTTAGAAGATGTTGTTTTTACTTGAGAACTACTAACCTGAGAATAAATAAATGAGCAAGGCAAAAAATGTTTTCCCTTGAGTTCCTATCTCAGTTTTTTCCCCCCAAAAATGGACAAAATAATTTTAATATCTACATTTTCATATTTTGACATCAACATCAGTTTTCATTTTCCACAGAAATTACACCTGAAGTCCCTTGAAATTTTTGTTCCAATCATAAAAGTGACAGTTTATTACAATGAGCTATCTTCTAGGAAGAATTATGATAATCCATAAATATACAAAATTCAGAAGAAGAATGTAAACCTCACTCTTTATCCCAATGGTGTTTTTTTTAAGATTTAATGAGAAAAAAGCTTTGTCCATGAAAGGTCTTTTGCAACACCATAGAGAGTGAAACACTGCAGGTCATCCATTGGTTATTTCCTTGCACATAAATCAAAATTGTTTTATACAACAATGTGAGTACTCCTTAGGAGTAACTTCCTGTCTCTCTGAGCTACTCATAGCTTTCTACTTCTATCCCAGCCACTCCCAACACACACACACACACACACACACACACACTGACCTGCTGTCCCACGGCCTCCGTCTTCATCAGACAGCGGACCTTACTGAGGATGCACTGCTGGAGCTGGGCCCAGGAAATGGTTCTGTCTTCCCGTATCAGGAAGGGTGGCCCGAACCTGACAATCCAAGGATACCAGGTTATTGTAGCAAAGGAAAAACCAACAGCGGCCAACAGCTGTGAGCCTAGGCTCTACTCAAAGGCGCCTCTCCACTGGATAAAGGTTAAACGCCAAGCACAATACATAATTGCTGAGAACTCTGCTGCAAATGGAGACACAGGGGAGTGAAGAGAGGCCCAGAGATGCAAAGCCACGGAGAGACACTGCAATGTAAGACAGATGGCTCCAAATGAGCGGCTGGCTGGGAAACTCTCTTCCCTACAGACAAGAGGAGAGGAGGAGAACACCGGAGCCAGAGGGAATCCAGCCCAGCTGGCACTGCTGGTTTTGTGCATCAGATTTATTCTCATAACTGGGGATGTTTTTCATATCCCAATCTGATGAACATACAGCAGTGAGCTTCTAATGCGGAGGATGCCAGATGTGGCCGTGAAAGCTGTTCATTCCCCAGCTGCCTCCACAGGCCACAGCCCTTTATTGATGAGGCGCAGGCCCTATTCCCTTGACCCTCAAGCAGAATGAGTAGTACCAGTTTTTAAAAGTTCTTTAACAATCTGAAAAGTTAAGAATAGCAACTTGCTATTGCAATCAGAATTTCTTCTACTAGCACATGAAGCTGAATATTTTAACTGAAGCTTATGTTTCTTCTGCGAACTAATGTTAATCTCTGAGGCTCATTTTACTAACAGTGTTCCTCTCACTAATTTGAGAACTAGTTTTTATGTGATGGATATGAATCCTTTATCTGTCACATGGTATAAATATTTTTCCTCTTTGTGCTTTGCTTTTCAAATTTGTTTTTAGTTTAGAATTGTTATCCTACTCCTTTACAGCCTCTGCCTCAAGTGTTAAAATAGCCCCAGTCAAAGATGTAAATATGCCTCTACACCATCTTCAAGTTATATTATGGTTTCCCTTACTATGACTTACCACTCTAACCAACCTGGAATGTATGCACGTGAATTTATGATGGAAGTAAAAAACTGATTACATAAACTTAAAAAATAAATCAATTAGCCCAGCCTTATATATTGAAGAAGCCATTCACTATCTAGTAATATGAAATACTACATTTTTATCATATAATACTTAAATATACTTTGGCCTGTTCTGTCCCAATGATTTAAGTGTCTATTCTTCTGCCTGTAACACAATATTTTAATAATTAAAATCTTATTCGGTTTTAAGAGAGCAACGCCTGTTCTTCCTTTTTCCCTCCCCCAATATTTTTCTGGCTATTCTTACAAGTTTATTATTATAGATAAATTTTACAAACATTTTACCAATCTAAAAATGTTTGATTGGAGCTACTATCTTAAAATTTTTATTTGGACTATATAAGAAAACTATCTCATTTTGTATATTAGTTATATAACCAGTCACTTTCCTGAACCCTTTTATTGGTTTTAATCACTTCCAAATTCTTGGTTCTCTGGACAATGATATAATTGGCAAATAGTGGTAACTGTGTCTCCTCTTTTCTTACAGCCAATTTCTTTTTTCTTGTCTTACAGCATTGACCAGGCCTTAGAACACGGTATAAAATAATAGTGGTGAGAGCAATAATAATTATTCCTGAAATTCATTAAAAAGCTTTCTTTTGATCAGAAAGTACCCTATCTCCTACTCCTAGTTGATTAACCTTGAGAATGGACATTAATTTTATCAAATTAGAATTATTCTAGACAGAATTCCAAGTACATGTCTACGCACCCCATACAACGCGTAAAAAGAAGGATGAAATTAAACATACCTGCTAGCCTGCTGCCCTGACCCCACCAAGTTACAGAAGAGGATGAGCACCTTGCTCTCACTATGGGCAGGCAGGGGAAGTCGCTGACCCTCACGGGCTGCCAAGCGAGGAGAGACGGATAGGCCAGGCGGGTGAGCTGAAGAGAGAAACTGCATTTGTATTCTTGCGGGAGCTGCTTTGCTGGGTCAAAACCCTGGCTTCCCTAGGCCCTCTTTCTCTTTCAGCATCTCTCCGCCGCCGCTGGGAGACACTAGGGGGCTTTAGGGGAAGAGATACAAGGTTCACGGCCACCTGGCACCTGGCACACAAAGACTATCATTAGTAGGGAATCTATGTTGTGTTCAGCCAATAATATAAAGAGAAGGCAGGGATTAATGAACACTTTTCAAAGCCAATCTGAAAAACACTCCAAAATTATTTTGGATGTCTGTCTGCCTAATCAGAGAGCCAACATAAGAAGCACTCAGAGACAGTAAGAATTGCTACCCTTAAGGAAGTAGGAGAATCAGACTTTCCTCGATCTGCAGTCAGTTCTGAAAATCTGATGTTTAAGGCACAGATGTGTCACCTGCGATTGGATTTTAAATGAGGTCTGTTTCATGGAGTTACAACATATTCAGGGCCGGTCAGCGTCCTGTTCCAGATTCCGCACCCAGAGTCTCCCTGGTGACCCAGAACCACAGACGCCTGGTTCGCACAGCCTGCCGCCTAGGCTGGCTGAGGACGCGGGGCTGGGGCTCGGGATTCACCCGGGGTAAACAGTGACACTGGCACATGGCGCTCCAAATATGGGCCTTCCTGCCTGGCTAACTCGGCCAAAATGTATACTGACCTGAAATGAAAGACTGACAGAAACTGGACATTTTAGCCAATCTAAAGTTCAGGAGAGGCAAGTATCGGGAAGTGGAATCTTTAACAAAAAGTCAGTGAATAACCTCTTTGGCCGTCTACTGCTCCAGTTTGTAAAGAAAATTACTTTAAGCACAGACCTTGAACCACTGGAGTCTGAAAGCAAAGATAACCCCACAGCTATTCTGACTAGAGGTTATTGAAGTGCAGCCTCAGGGCCAGCAGCATCAGGACCACCTGGGAACTTGCTAGCCGTGCAAATCCTCTGGCCCTGCCCCGGCCTGCCGCATCAGCAGCTCTAGGGAGGCGCCCACGAATCTGCTTGAAAGGCCTCTAGACGACGCTGATATTCACTAAGGTCCTGAAAGTCCCTGCGTTAGTTGAGTATTTTTAAGCAATCAACCACCTGTACAAAGAACGTCAGGTAAAATAAGCCTGATAGTTCCCAGTACTAAAATTCAAGTGTCTTATGATGACTTAGTGCCCAATGAGCACTTTCTCAAACCTGTAACTCGTATCACGCAAGCACTATTGTACCTGAGAGTATCTCCTGGCCAGCTGGCGGAGGGGCTTGGAAGGCATACACGTTGTCCTCCTCGGCAATAGCGTTCAGGTCCTCTTCATCAAAGAAGGACCGCTGGAGTCCACTGGGATACAGTTCAACCAAGATCACCTGCAACGAGAAGGGTCATTCTCCACCTTGATTTCTCAAGGGAATTTAACAAATGAGAAATCTAAGAGTGAAGGGATTAAGAAGTACAAATTTGCAGTTACAAAATAGTCACAGAGATGCAAAGTACACCATAGGGAACATAGTCAATAACTTTGTAATAACTATGTACCATGTCAGATGGGTACTAGACTTATGCGGGATCACCTCGTACGTTGAATAAATGTCTAACCATTATGCTGTACACCTGAAACTAAAAAAGATATTGACTGTGAAATGTAATTTGAATTTTTATAAAAATAATAAAATAAAATTGGCTAATAGGCTTAAACCTCTCTTTTATCCTATCCTCCCTTCTAGCTAGTGAGAAATACTATTTATTTTTAGCACTAAAGCACAGGTATAACAATTAGATTGAACACAGACATCTGAACTGCAACAATAGAATATGAAACTGCCCTAGGGAAGGGGGGGGGAGAAAGTTGAAAATCTGAAGTTTAATGCTCAGCTAATGCATCATGCAAGATGAGCATAAAATAAAGTCTTCTTCAGAAATACAAAAAGTGGGAGTGTTTACCACTAACAGATCTCCACTGAAAGAACTTAATAAATCTAAAGCGTATTGCCAGCTTCTTTACAATATGACATCCATGATGGAACGCTGAGTAAGCAGACGCAGCTGGTTTTGTTCAGGAAAAGAGGGGCGACCGCCTTGAGGGGCCTGGCTGCCCCACACCCAGCTCTGTTGCGTCAAGGGCTGCAGGCATCAACTTCTCAGCACACACATGCCATTCAAGACACACGGGCTAAAAATTCTCTTTTAAAAGATAAATTTCAGGGTTTAAAAAAATTGAATCTAGAAGGAAAACTTGAGTTTAAATGATGAGCCCCCCCAAAAAATGGTAAACACTGGTAAATGTAAATGTGCATTGACTACATTAAACCCGTAACAACTACTACATTACTGCTACAACCAGGGATAACAGGTACGAAGTATTATCCACCTAGAGTAATATCTTAATTGAAAAGGTACAAAGGAAATTAAAGCATGCCAAGATCCTTGTGTTGCTCGGTAAAATTCGCATAAGACTTTGTTAATTACACATGTTGACATCTTAATGATAATCAGTAAGAACATAAAAATATAATGTATATGTCCCAAACCTGAAGAGATGAAATGAAGAAAAATTTCTCAATGCAAAAGAAGCAGTAAAGGAGTGAAAAAGGAACAAAGGAAAAGCAGGATAAGTAGGAAGCATAAAATAAGTCGAAATACGTCCATGATCATAATAATATACATGGCATAAAATGGCCAGTTAAAACTAAATATCAAAATAGATTTTAAGTGCCAATCACAGCGCCCAGTCTTGCACTCAGGAATCCCATATGATATGTATCCCCCAGAACAAACATATCACCTCTCTCAAATTCCTGAGTCCTTTTACTCTCTTAATTATTCAAACTCTCCCTCCCAGACTTTGATCTTTCATTATTGACATTTTTTTTCCCAAGACTCTCACCAACTCTCCTACTCTCTCTCATTCTCTCAATAGATCTCCCTAGAGTACTTTGAGTTTACTAGGCAAGATACACACATTTTTACCCACTTGAGATCTTCATAAAAATGACTGTAGACGTCAGAGGGGTGGATTGGATCGGGGCAGGAAGAAGCCCGCTGGGGTAGAGAAGGGCTCAGTAATCATGGTGGTTACATGCACATCAACGTATATGCATGTAAAAATTCGACAAATTTTAACCTTAAGGCATGTACACTTTATTGTGTGTGTGTTATGCCTTAACAAAAAAGTTAAAAATATTTTTTAATATGGAAAAAAAACAGGAGGTCATCAGGTCATCCATTTCACAATTGAAGAAACAGGGGACCAATTACTTTGTCCAAGCTCAGAAAACTAGAAAGTGACTGAATTACAATTAGAACCCCATTCTGAGCCCTTCCCTTCCTGCCACACTGATTTTCACCACCATCACCTCTACCCGCCCTTTCCTGGTAGGGGTGGGGGTGCAAAGTCACAGGGAACCCAGTCTGCAGAGCACAGCCCGTCCCACTTTCTCCCGAACCTCCCCTCACATCATGTTACACAGCCTCGGGTTCCTCAGTGGTCCTCATATTTCACATACTGTCCCCTCAGAATCCTGGCTTATATTCTTGGGTGTAAGGTTTAGAATAGTGGCTCAGGCTCCGAAATCAAACCATCTGTGTTCAACTCCTGGCTCAGCCACTTACCAGTTCTGTGACCCTGGACAAGACACTCACCCTCTCAACGCGCCTTCTTTGCTCATTGGTAAATGAGGACAATTATAATATCTATTGGGTTGGCCAAAAAGTCCGTTTGGTTTTTTTCCATAAAAGACACATTTTTCATTTTCACCAAGAACTTTATTAAGTTGGATATTTTGAGTACACCGATTACCTCCAGCTATTGGCTTCTAGTGGATAGAACCAGGGGTAAGACAATGTGTAAGAGAGCCCCACAGCAAATTTGGCCAAAATGTCAATAGTGCCAAGAAACTTCGCAAACCACTTCTGACACATTCAATCAGTCACAGCACCTTCTCCATACAAAGCACAAATATTTAGCATTTCAGTTGCGTTTTTACCATTCTTGAAATAATAAAGTATAACGCGCCGAAAGTGTTGCATATTTTCTTCCATCTTCGATATTAAAATGGCTGCACAAAAATTCACCAATTTCGAAGTGTTTTTTTTAATGCACACTGATAGGACAGCTGTCACAATGCAATCTAACAAAATTGTTTCAAATGAAGTTAAAAGCACCTAAGCACTACTAGAGCCATCATAGAGGAAAAAAGTTTGTTTAGCTAAACAAACTTTTTGGCCAACCCAGTGCTTCAGGGGATGGTTGAGAGAATTGCATTGACTACGAATATAAAGTTCATAGAGCAGTACCCAGCACCTGCTAAGCACTCCTGAGGCACAGCTATTACTGGAATTACTGTGACTGCGATCGTTACCAGCTTCTTGGAAGACAAAGGCAGTGCCTTTTTCTGGTTACCCCGTGGCAGTGCCCGGACAGGCCACGCCTGGCCATCACAGACACCAGGGACTACTCATCAAACAGAAACTCGGGAATCACGCTGGAGTCCCCGGGGAACCAGAAATTAGCCTCAACAACCTAGGCGGCTGGCTCGGTTCGCATTTCGTCATCCAGCGCCCAAGCTCCCTGCAGTCCCATCATACCTCATCCACAGGGACGCCGCCTTCCTCTGCCACCATCCTCCTCAGGGTTGCCACTGTGCTGAGGATCGGCACGGCCAGGCCAACCCGCAGGAACCGCGGGCTCTTAGAGGGGAAGACCAAGGTGACACTCAAGAATCTGAAAAATAGGAGAGAGTCCACATCTGTAAAGGACTGATGTGAACTGTTACCAACACCACAGACATTAGCCCGGGTTCAGCACTTGGCCTTATCGCTGCTCCCAAGTTGGGTCACTGCATTTGAGGTACGCTGTCACCAGGTGGCACTGGAGAGCCAATTCTCCGAAGGAATCAGTGGAGTACTTTTCCAGCAAATTAAAAATAAAAGGTAAATAATCACAATACAGACCTATGGTCTTCAGGTTCTGTTTATTAAATAGATAACCTTAACTAAAAATATATTTTGAAGTTTGAGAAGTAAAGCAGTCAAGCTTCTTCTTCGGTATGATTCTGCCTTCGTTTCCTTATTGAAATTCTCCCTCGGTAATGGGACAGGGCCTTTTGCTGGTCCCACCTCCGCTGTCTCCACCGTACGCCAGGCCTCACCCCTCCAGCACCCGTTTCTCCTATCCTACCCTGCAGTAATTACCCAATTCACACAGCTAATTTATAGAGCTGGGATTGGAATCGAGGCCTTCTGGCCCCAGAGCCAGGGGTCCCAACCAAGGTGCTACACCGCGTCAAGCCAGGAACCTTAACTCGCATCTACCAGTTGGCACCCTCTGATGGTGTCACTGGAGACAGGCTAAGCCTGTGTTGTGCTTGTGGCCTGGCCTCTCAGCAGCACAGGAGTTCAGAGCAGAAAGGGGCTAAGTGGCCAGGACCGGCTTTAGGAGGCTGCCATGCCTTCAGCTGTGTCCTGAAGACGCAAGAGAAATGGTATTTCCTGAGGGGGGACACATGGGAGAAGCGCCACTGTCTTGATGGCAGTGGAGGCGCCCCATCTCAGAGGTCACTCAACTTCCGGGATGCTGACACTGGCCAGTTGCCTTAAGGCCACTTGTTAAGTGGGGCTTCTCGGAAGCCTGCACCATGTGCTGCTCACTTTTACAGAGCTGGGCCCCACCGTGGCTCTTACCCGATCCTAACGCCTCCTTTCTCTTTCTCTCATCTCCTCCTCTAACCATTTTCCTTTTTCTTTGCCTCTCCGATAAACCTTTTCCTACACCCTCACCAAAAAAAGGGGAAAGGATTAGAAATAAAGCATGACAAAGTATGACAAAGCAGGTGGTAACAGATTTTCTCTGGTTTGCCAGTCTGACTGAGTGGTACCCATTGGCCTGCACCAGCTTCTGCAGGGGCCAAAGGCATAGCCTGGCGCTGACGAACAAAAGCACGGTTTATAATCCCTTCTTCAGCAAAAAAAGAAGCACAGTAACCTTTCATTTTAATTGTCACATTCAGTAACTGAATGGCACCCAGCCATAAGGCTTCTTTCTAGAGAAACAGTGACTGAGAAGCAAAAGAGAGGCAATTGCAGATGCAAAACCAGAAGGATCCCAATAAGGAGTGAGGAAGTCAAGTCCACTGGGCACGATGCCCACACACCTCGTCTGGCGCAAGGGGATGGGTAGTGACACACACAGGAAAGGATCGAAGGTGTTGCTCTGCTTCAGGCAGTGGGGACAAGTCAAGGAAGACCTGTGAGGACAAAAAGAGTTAAAGTTTAATCACACAAACGGTCTAGGGGCACTCAAAGAAATTAAATACAGAATTACCATTGAAATTCTACTTCCAGGTAAATACTCAAAAGAATTGAAAAAAGCTATTCAAATAAACACCTTATACAAAAGTTCATAGCAGCATTAGTCCCAATAGTGAAAGGGTGAAAACAACCCAAATGTCCAAGGAATAGACGGGTAAACAAAATGCGGTATTCACACAGGATTGGCTTGTTACGCGGCCACGAAGTCCTGACATGCTATACCGTGGCTGAGGCTTAAGCACAGTCAGCCGGGCGACGGAGGTCAAACACAGCAGGTCACATATGTCCTGATTTCATTTCTAGGGAATATCCAGAACGAGGGAGGACGGGCAGTGCCCGCTCACTGGCACCGGGGTTTCCACCGGCGCAATGAAAGGGTCTGGGAGCTAGAGAGAGCTGTGGCTGGGCAGCACCGACAGTGGACTTGTCCCGGAACCGTACACTTTAAAATGGTTGATGTTGTGTTATGAGACATTCACCTCAATTTTCTTAAAAAGGAAAACAGTTTAATCACATTATCAGTGCACTATGTATGGGAAGGAAGCTGGAACCCTTCCAGACAGAAGCCTCGTGCGCCAACGTGCAAGCTGGAGGGTCTCAGGACCATCTATCCCCTTGGTTCTCAGGCTCACTATGCCCCAGAACCAGGTAGGAAGCTTTTTTTTTTTCAAATGCAGATGTCCAGGCCCTACTCCTAAAGAATTTGGTTTTTTAAAATCATGTTTATTCTATTACACTTGTCTCAATTTTTCCCCCTTGACCCTCCTCCACCCATCCCACCCCGCCCCCCTCTCCCACAGTCAATTCCCACTCTGTTGTCCATGTCCATGGGTCATTTGTACATGTTCTTTGTCTAGTCCCTTCCCCTTCTTTCTACCATTGTCCTCTTTCCCCATCCCCTCTGGTCACTTTCAGTCTGCTCCATGTTTCCATGCCTGTGGATTATTTTGTTCATTAGCTTATTTTGTTGAATAGAGTCCACTTATAGGTGAGATCATATGGTATTTGTCTTTCACCAACTGGCTTATTTCACTTAGCACAATATTCTCTGGTTCCATCCATGTTGTCGCAATAGGTAGGAGTCCCATTTTTCTTTTTTTTCTTTCTTTCTTCCTTCCTTCCTTCCTTTCTTAAATGCAGATTGACTTTATTTTTTAAAATGTCAAAGTCAATTATAAAATATTAAAAAATTTAAAACCATTATAAAGTCTCAGCTATTAAAACATGACACCAGCACAGAAATAATCAAGTAGATCAATGAAATATAATGAGCATTCTAGAGGCAAACATGTACATCGAACAATGTAATATATGCTTAAGTTATTTCAAATCAATGGGTAAAATAAGGCTTATTCAACAAATAAGGTACATGGACCACTATGACTTGAAATAAAATAAATACGGAGCTCTGTTTCACACATTATACCAGAAAAATTCAGGTGAGTTAAAAATCAATGTGTAGAATCTAAGGAGTTTTAGGAGAAAACACAAATTAATATTTTTCTTACCCTGAAGTAAAATATTCAAACCCAGAAGCTATAAAGTAAAATATTGACAATATGACTATATTAAACATTTAAGACTAAAGAGTAATATAAATATAAAGAAAGTTAAAGGACAAGTAATGGAATGGGAAAGTATTTGCCACACATCTAAAAAAGGGTTAATAGTTGTGTTTTATTTTTTTAGGGAAAAAAATTCTACAAACCTTTAATCAATAAATGGATAAAGAATACCAAAAAGTTATTTAAAGCTTTTTAAAAATAATAGAAATAGACAAAAAATATACAAAAACAGGTTTAGTTTCAACAAATAGTAAAGGAACAATTAAAATAACATCATTGTCACAATCAGATGAATAAGTATTAAAAAATATTGGCAACTGTGAAAGGAACTGGGTATTCATAGATTCTTTTTCTTCATCTTCTTCAAGCAGCCCCATTAGCATATTTTGCAATGCTGGTTTGGTGGAGGTGTATTCTTTTAGCCTTCTTTTGTCTGGGAAACTCATTTCACCTTCCATTTTAATTGAGAGCCTTGCTGGGTAGAGCAGTCTTGGTTGCAGGCCTTTGTTTTTCATGACTTGGAATATTTCTTGTCATTCCTTACTGGCTTGTAGTGTTTCTGTTAGCCAGCTGCTAGCCATATCGGGGCTCCATTATATGTTCCTACCTCTTTCTCCCTTGCTGCCTTTAGGATTCTCTGTTTGTCTTTGATAGCTGCCATTTTAGTGATGATGTGTCTTGGAGTGGGCCTCATTGGGTTCCTCTTGAAGGGGACCCTCTGTGCTTCCTGGACTTGTGCAACTCTTTCTCTCCTCCAATTAGGGAACTTTTCCATCATTACTTTTTCAAACAGGTTCTCTATCCCTTCTTCATACTTTTCTCCTTCTAGTATCCCTGTTATACGGATATTATTATGTTTCAGGTTGTCCTGCATTTCCCTAAATGCCTCTTCATTCTCTTTGAGTCTTTTTTCATTTTCTTGCTCTTTCTGGGAGCTTTTTTTTTTTTTACCTTACCCTCCAGCTCAGTGATTCAGTCCTCAGCTTCATCTGGCCTACTTTTGATTCTTTCTTCTGTGTTCTTCAATTCAGAAATTGTATTCTTCATTTCTTCTGGTCTCTTATTGATAGTTTCTATGTCCTTTTTCATGCTGATATAGTTTGCAGTAAGTTCCTCGTAGTTTCTCTGTAGTTTTTTGTAATTCTCTTTGAGCTCACTGAGCTCATTGAGCTTCCTTAGACCATTGTTTGGAACTGAATATCTAACAATTTACTTGCCTCTATATCATTTAGTTCTCTTTGTGGAGATTCTTCCTTTCCCTTCAATTGGGGCGTATTTCTTTGTCTTCCCATTATTTGTGAGACTCTTCTTTTTTGCTTCTGCTTCTTAAATTGATATGTCTTGATTTCCTGACTTTGTGGTATGAACTTCTATAGTAGGAGACTGCTGTTTTTTCTTTCTGGATCTGCCTCTGATAATGTCAGATGTTGTCCCTGTCTGACCTTAGGCAGTCTGTACGAGACTTCCAGGAATCTACTGTTGTGGCTGTCTCCTTCAGCTGTTAATCTAGTCACTTTGCACTCAGCAGACCAGCCTAGACAGCTCAGGGAGGTGCAGAGTCCCTCCTGGGGATGGGGTTATTGGGTCCTCTCATGCTGCTGCCACTTAGAGGAGTGGTCTCTGCCTGAGCAAGACGGCTGCTGCCTCATGGGGGATGAGTCAGCACCGAGATCCCACCAGCTACTCTCTCAGTTCTCTCCCAAACCCTCCTTCCCTAGTCTCTCCCCAGGCATCTCCAGCCCACTCTGCCCCCGCCTTTGCCGGAGACCAGAGTAACTGGCTGCAAATAAAAATTTATGCATTGGACCTTTAAATGTTTCCCTGCGTCTCCAGCCACCTGCCTTTGGCAGAGAGCAACCCTGCTGCTTTTCACAGCTGGTTATCTGTGTGCTTTCTGGGCTCTGGTGCTGTAGTCTGGAGATCCCCACTTTTGGTTTAGACCCCGCTCTTCTCAGGGGGATCCAACTGGCCGTTTCAATATCCCTCTGGTGCTGGCGCCCGTGGGTGCCCCACCTGCCTTCTTGAGTCTCTACCACACTCCTTACCAATTAGGTTGTGCTAAAGCCTATTCTTCTGTCTCTTAGGTTACAAGGCTACTCTCTCACTATTGTTCAGTTGTTTGTTCCAGGTGATTTCTTCACAATTTAGTTGTAATTCCAGGTTGGTCCTGGGAGGAGGTCAGTGTAACTTCCACTCACTCCTCCGCCATCTTGATTCTCCCCAAAAATTTGTTTCAAAGAAAGCAGGGGGAGGCACAGGCTTCGAAAGTTTAAAACTTCCTTAGGGGAAGTGTTCAGCCGGTGCAGAGGGTTGGGGGACCACTGATGTGGACCACCCTCCTTATTGGATCAATGATGAAACAAAGCTCAGAAAATCACGGCTAATGGTAATAGCTACCAATGAAATAGCATTTACTATGGACTGGGCATTATTCTGAGCATTGTACATGTATTAACCCATGTACTACCCATAAAACCCAGGATTATCCCCATTTTTACAAAGGAGAAAACTGAAGCACAGAGAGGTTAAGTAACTTGCCCAGGGACACACAGCTCTTAAGAGGCAGAGCAAGGCTCAGTTTCCAGAGTCTGTGCTCATCATAGCCCCTGCAGTCTTTGGTATAAGTGAGTGAGGCATCAATTGCTTTAGAGTAGGTAAACACACAGTTTACTTATAGTCTTTAAACTCTTTTATTTATTTATTTTTTATTTATTTATTTGAGAGAGAGAAAGAGAAGGGAGAAAGAGAAAAACATCAATCGGTTGCCTCTCTCACACCCCCAACCGGAGGAGACCAGCCTGCAACCCAGGCAAGTGCCCTGACCGGAATCAAACTGGCGGCCTTTTGCTTTGTGGAACAATGCCCAACCCACTGAGCCATACCAGCCAGGGCACATGGTCTTTAAACTCTTTTAAATTAAACGCTCTCTCATTTTGGTACCTTGAAAGTGAAGCACAACTTTTATATTCTACATGGGTGCTCCAATTTATTTCCTTGATCATGTAATTCATCATTTCCTCTGAGATCTAAGGGATCTCTGGATGCTACATTTCTTAATCCCAAAGTCTCTATTAACGTCCTTGAGAACACGGAGCAATACCCCGCAGGCAGACTGTGCTCCCTCCACTAGACAGCCCCAGGGGAAACCAATGGCAATTAGTATAAAAACCAGGTTTCCTGGCTCTGTGGAAAGCATCTGTCCTGCTTGGTTGGATTCCTGTTAAGCAAACAAAATTTAAAAAAGAAAAAGAGAGAGACAGGCAAGAAACCCTGGGTGCTGCCTAAGGTGACCCCCAAGTGATCTGTTCGTAGTAAGTCGGCTCTCCCAGACACGAGAGAACAGAATGGCAACCTTCATTTTTGAAAATGGG